TTTTTATTGGCTTACTTAATTATGCCGTGCAATTATGCCGATGAAAAACAAAGATAAATCGGGTATCAGTTAAAACTTTTTTACTGAAAAATACAGGGCTTTAAAAATAACTAACCGTATGGGAAAACGGTATATATATATATATATATATATATATATATATATATATATATATATATATATATATATATATATATATATATAGACAAGCTATACACAAGCTATACACAAGGTTTTGCCTAAATATGTGACCCATGTATGATAAATACTTTCCTTCAAATTAGAAATTAATTGTAAAACAAACAAAAAAAAAGAATAACTTGCCCAGTTAGCTCTAAACAAAAACCACAGATAAACCGTGTTGGGATTCTTAAATTCGTTCTCCCCAGTTTTATCTGGATGTGATTTCAAACCAAGCCACTGTTCTCACAGCAGTCCAAACTGCTATTCCCCTTTTCTCCCGCTGGAATACAATAAGATTAGGATATAATGAATCTTTTCAAATGGGGCTGCTCTTTTCAAGCTGCGCAGGTGTACAATAGGGGGGCAAATGGAGAAGTCTCACGCCTAGGTGTGAGCAGATTATTCAAATAGGGGCCGAGTGAAGCAGTAGGGATTGGAGGCTAGCCCGGGCGCACAGAGCTATATCACAGCGTTAAGAGCCAGCAGCAGGCGTCATTTCAACTGCAGTCGTCTCAGATACACACACATACACAAACACACATGCGCCAGTCCTTGACAGGAGGAGAGCACAACGACGACACGAGTGTATCCCGTGGTCCCCAACAACCACCTTTGGCTGCCAAAGGACACACAATACAGGCATTTCTCGTGTGGGGAAGCGTTTTAAAAAGTAGACGAAACTTTTTTCCAGGATGCTCGGTGCTGTCAAAATGGAGGGACACGAACACGCAGCAGACTGGAGCACTTACTACGGAGAGCCTGAGGTGGGTAACTCACCTAAATAAATATATAGCCTATGTATTTTTTTCTCCTCGTCGAATTCCGATTCGGTTTTATACAACTCACTATTAGCCCTGAGATAATATTAACTTTGAGATCAAATATTGACTTGAGGCGCCTCCAAATCCTCCCCCATCATCTCGACGCCCTGCACTATCCTAACAAAGTTGTGCTTGACATGCAACGCAAACTTTTCATTTCCAATAGCGAATAGCCTACCGACGAATACACGGGTTTTATTATTCAACAACATCGGGTGTTCAGAAGCGAAAATAACTTGCACTTTCAACTTTGGAACAGATAGCCTAATTCTTGCTTTTAAATATCTGAGCGGCTGTAACTAATTGGTTAGGCTTGTCTATATGTTGGCAACCTGCAATTAAGTAGCTATAAATGCACCCCAAAAATAGACTTTCACTTTAGTAACACTAAACAAATAGTTATCGAGCAAATATTTCCAGATTAAAACATTTCAAACCCTTAAAACTTACAAACAAAATAACTGTTTAATAAAATGAACCCGAACTAACAAATCGAATCTTCAGCACACCCTGACATTCTTTAATCGACTTTTTAATGTTTCTTTTTAAAGGTTAACGAAGCAATAAATAAATAATTAAGTATATAAATAAAAAAACCGAAGTTTTTTTTGTTTCTGAAAAAATACTTTGGCGCATTTGTAATTAATCGAATTGTCTTGTTTTCTTTCGCAGTGTTACACCTCGGTCAGCAACATGAACACTGGACTTGGAATGAATTCCATGAACACTTACATGACTATGTCCGGAATGAGTTCGACTGCAAACATGACAGCAGCTAACACCATGAACATGTCCTATGTCAACACGGGCATGAGCCCTTCAATGACAGGCATGTCCCCCGGTACGGGAGCGATGGCCGGCATGGGTGCGGGTATGACGGGCATGAGCGCAGCCCTGAGCCCTACCATGAGCCCAATAGCAGCGCAAGCGCCCTCCATGAACGCCCTAACCTCGTACAGCAACATGAACGCTATGAGCCCTATGTACGGCCAGTCGAACATAAACAGATCGAGAGATCCGAAGACCTACCGCAGGAGCTACACTCATGCCAAGCCCCCTTACTCGTACATTTCTCTAATAACCATGGCCATCCAGCAATCACCCAGTAAGATGCTGACCCTTAGTGAGATTTACCAGTGGATAATGGACCTTTTCCCTTTTTACCGACAGAACCAGCAACGCTGGCAAAACTCTATCCGCCACTCGCTGTCTTTTAACGACTGTTTCCTGAAAGTTCCGCGCTCTCCGGATAAGCCGGGTAAAGGCTCGTTTTGGACCCTTCATCCCGATTCCGGAAACATGTTCGAAAACGGCTGTTACCTGAGGAGGCAAAAGCGCTTCAAGTGCGATAAGAAACTAAGCAAGGATCCGAGTCGAAAAACATCAGAGGGCGGATCAAACAGCAGCTCCGAGAGCTGCAATGGGAACGAATCTCCTCATTCCAACTCTTCAAGTAACGAGCACAAAAGATCTCTGTCTGACATGAAGTCGGGTCAGGGTCTGAGTCCGGACCACGCAGCGTCCCCGACCTCCCAGGCGCAGCATCTGCTGGCTCAACATAACTCTGTTTTAGCGCACGAAGGACACCTGAAGCCAGAACATCACTACTCGTTCAATCACCCCTTCTCTATTAACAACCTAATGTCCTCGGAGCAGCAGCATCACAAAATGGACCTAAAGACATACGAGCAAGTGATGCATTATGGTTACGGTTCTCCGATGGCCGGCACGTTATCCATGGGCTCCATGGCAAGCAAAGCAGGCCTGGATTCACCGGACACATCCTATTACCAAGGTGTGTACTCCAGGCCCATCCTGAACTCTTCCTAAACTCTCTTGGACCTTGTGACAATTTGTAAATTTGTAAAATGTTTGTGTATATGTATTCATTTTTCGATGTTTCCTGTTAATTTAGATGATCATTAGTTATTAATTTGTAAAAGACATGTTAACAATGTGACGAACTCTTCAAGGCGGCTTTTGAAAATGGACCAAAATTACACCGAAGGACTGCGGACGGATTGGACTTCTTGAATCACATGTGTAAACTTATTTATGGCTTGTAAATGTGTATTCTTGTAGTTGATGACAAGAACAGAATCTATATTAAAGTGTTATTTGGACTTTTTTCGCAATTCAGATTTTCACTCATTTGTGTTATTATTGTGTTCACGACAAAAACAACTATGTACAATAATAAAAAATTTAATAATAGCATAATAATAATAATAATAATAATAATAATAATAATAATAATAACAATGATAAGAAAATTATTATACATTTTATTTTAATAATGCTTTTAAATAATTTCGAATACATTGAATTTGCACAAATAATTGTTAATATTGAGGCCAAATTAATTGATAATTCAATTATTTAAAAAAAAATTGTTTGCATTTTCGATTATGAGTTATGGTATCGAAAATACAATGGGTATAGTCAAACAAATTTATTGTTCTTATAAATAAAATAAGCTAAAATGCGCTTCATTTATATGATCACACGGGAATTACTGACCTAAATATTTATTATTTACTTGGCTACAAACAAATGATACTCACAATAGTATAAATTATGTGTTGTATTTTACGTAAAAATGATAACAAGTGATTTGAAGTCTATTTCTCCATTAGGACAATATAACGTATATTGTGATAAGAAAACCTTGTTAAAGGCCGAATATATGCGTTACAATCACACTTTTCCACGTTTCATATAATATATATATATATATATATATATATATATATATATATATATATATATGTGTGTGTGTGTGTGTGTGTGTGTGTGTGTGTGTGTGTGTGTGTGTGTACACAAAACGTTAACATAAATGCATAAACACATTATATATATTTTTGAATGCATCTAATGTGCACATGGTTCACACATGAGCTTTAACACTTCGTCGCTCTCTCCCTTTGTGCTAATGTCTATCTATCTATCTATCTATCTATCTATCTATCTATCTATCTATCTATCTATCTATCTATCTATCTATCTATCTATCTATCTATCCATCCATCCATCCATCCATCCATCCATCCATCCATCCATCCATCCATCCATCCATCCATCCATCCATCCATCCATCCATCCATCCATCCATCCATCCATCTATCTATCTATCTATCTATCTATCTATCTATCTATCTATCTATCTATCTATCTATCTATCTATCTACATTTGTGTGTGTGTGTGTGTGGGAAGCAGGGGGGGGGGGTGGGGGGGGGGGGGGGTAAATATTGACAAATCCCATCCATTAAATTTGAATAGATCGTAACATACATAAACAGATCAAACTTTTAAACTGAGCAAAAATTGGGTTCCTAATAATTTCACCTGTTTTATAACATGAATAAGATATGAGACTCTTGTTGATAAAAAACATGAGTTGTATAGGTTAAATTCCTTCTAAAACAAAAACGACATACATCACTTTGTTGTTCTGACACAAACAAGAAGGCTGTATTACAAACTTTCCCTTATAATAGTAAACTTGTAGACAAAGAAATCATATGATGCCAACAAATCATCCTCCCTGGAAGTATCACATCAATGTTTATAATCAGAGGTTTCTCCTTCAACTTGAATAGGCAAGAAGTTCTTGTTTTGTTACCTCAGTGTTTTTAGTTCTTAGACCATTCCATTGTATTTCAAACTTTCATGATCTGCGAATAAACAACAACTGGCAAACAATGAAAAAGGCGGTATTAATACATATAGTCTGTGTACATGAGCAATCAAATAACACGAGTGTAAACTGAATAAGAGCACGTCACTTCTAGGTAAATTTACACAGAAATTAAATTTCGGTGCCCCTCGTTTTAGTCATAATGCTAGGCTGAATTTTTATAGCGCACTGATCGATATCTTGGTAAAATAATCATTTTTTTTAAACTAGCGGGGCAGTGAAATCTTTGCTTTGTTGCTAAAGTCAACAATGACAGAGTTTGAGCTCAAATAAATGCCGTGAGGCTTCCAGCCTTGTGCAGAAGGCAGCGGGAGAGACAACGAATACCGTCCTACGGGCATCAGGTACGCATATTTTTATGATTAAATTAATTTAATGGTGAAGTTTTCGATGCATTCTGTGTTTCGCTTAGAGAGGATTCCAAATAGAATGTTTCTGCGTGCAACTTCGATTTCACGGGAATATAATTTGACGCTTGAACAGACGCAGCTCAAGTGTTGATGTTAGGGGCTCTTTCAGCCGACTGTCAGATGGCTTTTTCAGCTGATTGATGCCAGTGATACTGAAGAAGAAATGCACTGGTTTCGCTGTGCCCGTCAAATAGAGCACAGGTTCATAGCTATGGTTTTCATCGGACGAACCTTTTTGTCGAGATAAAAGCGTAAGCCACGAGACCATACTATGCGAGGTTTTCATTTAACGAAAGCCAAAAGATCTACATATTAACGTGTTTTCGATAACCAAAACGAAGATTTAATTTCATTTAAATTTGTGGTGTCTTTCCAGAGACACAAATACCAGTAGCCATCTACATGAGCATAAAATTAAACACAGGTTTGACAGCAAACAAAACAACTATTACAATCTCACGTTAAGAAAACAGAAAAAGAACAGGTCTATAGCTGCTCAGTTTTTGATTCTGTACTGCGATAGTATAATAACAATAATAATAATAATAATAATAATAATAATAGTAATAGTAATAGTAATAATAATAATATTAATAATAATAATAATAATAATAATAATATACTAACTACCACTACTAAAAATAATAATAGCAATATAATAATAATATTAATAACATTTATAACAATTTATAATAATGATAACAACAACAACATTAATAATAATAATAATAATAATAATAATAATAATAATAATAATAATAATAATAATAATAATAACAAAAACAACAACAACAATAATAATAGTAGTCAGTTTTATTAAGACAGGACGCCTGGAATGAAAATCTTGCTATATGCGTTTTATACCCTACGTTAGTACGTTCAAATAAAACCTTAAAAATATTTAGACATATAGCAATAAGACATAGCCTACCTATAACTCAAACAATATGGAAATTATAAGACAAATAATAAATACCATAAAAGAAAATCAATTATATTTAAAAAAAAAAATTTTGTTGGTTGCAGCAGCTGCATAGATTCCCTGTATTTTACGTTTTTTCTATTTCACTTAACTAACCGTGTTTAATTACTTTTCGTTGGATTTGTCCAATTTGCATATTAGTGCAAATGAAAGCCAAAATGTAAAAAATGATCCACAAAATTCCTATTCAGTGTATAAAGTTTCTCAAGAAGAGCAATGGGCATTACCTAAACTTTATTAAATATCGCACAGAAAATTAAAGCAGGCCTAATAGCGAACAATTAATTGATTTATGTAAACTTATATTAATGTAATTTAAATTCATATTAATTTATTTTCGTAATGTTAAATTGCTAACAATCTTACCAACCATTAATTAATAAACCATTCGTTGTATTTTGTTATACAGACAAAAATTCGAAAACAACTTTGAATATTGCACGAGAAGATGGCATCAGAACACCTCCGTGTCATCTAAATGGTCTGTGCTCAGTGCTGGAACACCCAAGTGGAGCTGGTCTCCCGGGAGATCTGCGGGACACCCATCTTACAAGCTGTAATGCCGCTTTAACCCATTGCTGGGGAGGGACCGTTCACACTACCCCGATTTAAGACCAAATACTCCTAATCCCGCTGATGTCCCACACTATATTAACGCACAACACAGACGCTTAATCTACGCCCTAAAGTTAGAAAGGCAGTTTCACTGCAATATGCCGAATAGGATTAGGTTAGTCTTTGTAATAGTCTTTAAGGCATTTTAAACGCCGGGCAATGCGATTACATGTAAAAGTATTATATTCTCCCCCAAAACAGATAAAAAAGTTCATACAACAATAACAATTATACTAACTATTTAAATCAAAATATAGTTGTATGCTGGGATTAAATTATTATTATTTGTAATTGTAAAAAATGTTTAAATCATTCACTCTTGCTTGTTTTGTTTAGTTTAAATGTTTTTGGAATACTTCCATATTTATCTATTGGTCATTTTATGACAATGTCAGAACACATTTTATCGCCTAAAGATGACCTTGAACTTGTTGTGTATATTTGAAGAAATAAAAATGTGAAAAAGCAATAGGTTGTTTTGTCATTTAGATTTAAGAGATATTTTATATATAATATATATTTTATTTAATCTTTACATTACGTTGTACTATTCTTAGTTAGTTTTGTAAATAAAAGTGTATATTTAAATGTAAAATAACATTACATTATTGTAATGATCTGCATAATATAAAGACGAACAGACAGCTCTCAAAAGATATACTCCACTATATTTCACACAGCAAAATATGAACTGAATCTAAAGTATCAAGTCTAAATCATGCAAAAAATATCCACCATATTTGTCTAGAGAATTGCCTGTTTTCTTACTTTTGTAGTTAATTGTTTGCATTTAATGTGAGGCAATGGATACTATAGAAACCCTAAGTGATATTTAAGGTATTTTGAATACAACATGCTGATTTATTAAAACACATAAGCATTTCTTGAACAGCTTTTTAATAGCATAAGTAGTGGCACTGAACATGAATTACAATCATATATACAGTGCTTAGCACTTACCCCTCACAAATATTCTTTTAAATTCATATTTTTAATAGGAAGCTATACAATATTATATTTGTGCATATACATTAGATTAGTCAGTACTGAAGCCAAATCTGGAGTTTATTTAACAAAATAACTTATAATAACGGTCCAAAAAATAAGTTTTAGTTTACTTTAGTAAATATGTTTTAGAAAATATTAAATACAAATTTTGAAAAGAGGAAAAATCGAGAGAAGCAAAATAATAGAAAAAATAGGTTGAAATGTTTTAAGTTGTCATATTTATTTTTATTTCTTTTGCAATATTTTGCTTGAATTTAATTGTGTTTTCTGTGTAATGTTTGGTGACTGAGATATTATTTTGATAAATATATCTGTTTAACAAATCTGTTTTGTTTAAATGCACCAAAAAACATTGCTTATATTCACTGAGAAATATAAAAATATTCATTTTCAAAATGTGGTGTATTGTGCTGAGCACTGGATATTTACTTTAATATTGACATATTTATATACATATAAATATATATTTTACTCATGATGTCTTTAACCCTGCTCTTAAGATAATACATATGAGTCTATTCCTTCTCAGCTTTAAAAGAAAGTATGATTGTCAATATACTGCAGCAGCTATTAAATGGTTTGTGGTTTGATCTGGTCAAATGCAGCGGAAATAGTGCAAGAGTGTGATGGGTCAGGGCTGTGTTCACACTCATCCAACATCTTAGTGTGAAATTCTTGCTGTGCAAAAGCACAAGCCCTTTCAACACGCCAATCATCTAATTCACTGCTTAAACATCAGCATCCTTTAGAGATAATATTACCTGGATACTTCAGTTTCAGGCTGAAATAGTCAGGATATTACATAAGAAATTACATCAAAGGACTCTCAGTTGTTAACGTCAGCTTTATCATTGCAAGTGCATTGACGTACATGTATACACGGTACAGATGCCAATAGTTCCGACTTGCCCAACATTTCCTGTGGTCAAACTCTGTGGGTAAAATCGAAGTCAACGGGAAGGACACTTGACTCATTAAATCTTAATGAAAGCAATAAACACAGACGCCAGGAATTCATTCAGACCTCCAAACCAATCTCCATTTCTCAGCAAAGGCAAACAAGCCCAGATGCCCCAGCGTGATTCCCTGCATAACAAAAGCGAATCAGATTGTGTCCTGCATGTGTTCCTGATGCCGAAATGGTAAAGGCGATAGGTTATTCCAAGAAAGAGCTTGTCCAATTTATTGTACGTGAGAGGAGTATGTCACAAAGGTGATTTCTGCATATATTTTTATTTCTGCATTGAAGAGCTTGTAGTTTAGAGGGTGATGGACAAGCTCATGAAGCATTCATGAGAAGATTTTTCTTCAAGTTTCATAGAGAAAGCACGCACACACACACACACACACACACACACACACACACACACACACACACACACACACACACACACACACACACACACACACACACACACACACACACACACACAACAATCATCTGGATTTATGAGTTTCATGCTGATGACTCTTTTTGTTTATAAACAATATTCACAGTGAAATCCAAATCATTTGCCTGTTAGCAAAAGCAATGTGATGGAAGAGTAAATACCAGATGATGCTCTATTATTAGATCAAGTATTTCTTGCTGCTGTTGATTGCCATGGGCAAATTTAACCTGCTAGTAAACATATTTCCAGGATCTCTACCCACAGTTTCCCCAGAGACTCCACAGCAAGAGCACTTAAAGTAAATCCCCCAACTCAGAGCCAAATAATTCACCAACCCTTTCTCAAACTAAAGGCAATCTTCAGTTTAATCCAGTATAAATGCATTTATCACAAAGAGATTAATGTGTGGCTGTTGCCTGTTAAAAAGCCCTCTGCTATGTTCGAGCAGTAGTGGTCCCCTGACACAGCATGTTTAACCTCGATCCTCATGCTCACAGTGCCATCGCAGACAGTTTAATTCAATTTCCTGTCAAATCAAGAGCTCCCCTCATTGTTGAGGCTGATTTATTATCACCAATCATGTCTTTGTTTTCCAATTTACAGAAGCAATGACAACGGCACCAATTAGTGAAAACGTTAACAAGGCCCTACATCTGAAGAGTGTTTAACAGTAATGCAAAAACAGTTGTGAACTGCTTATATTCTCTTGATGAGCATACCAATAATTCCTTAAATAACCTTTCAACAATTAAATCTTTAAAGAACCAATTGTTTCTAAGCACAAGAATGTGGAATGTAATTGTTCTTTAGATTTTAAAGATTCTTTGTGGAACCTTTGATGCAAAGCTTTATTTTTATGAAGTTTTAATGATGCATCAAATAACAGGTATTTGAAAATTCAACAAGTTTACAGGACTGTGTATTTAATGGTTTAAGTGAAGGAAAGAATCACAATCCCAACAATAATCACAAAAAAACAAAAAACAAAAATGAAGTCAACTTGAAAAAAACGGTCCTTTTTAATGAAGTATATTTTATTAAGTATTACAATTTAATACTGTTCCATGTTTAATTGCTTGTCACACTAAGCTTTTTCATAAAATTCTGACTGGTGGAATTTGTTTGGTACTGCATCATGAACAATTTTTTTGTTTAGCATTAAAAAATACCCCACAGAGATGAAGCTTAATGTGCACATACTATTGAAAAGCTTTGGACTAATAGCAGATATTTAAAGGTAAATGTGTATATATTATTGTATAAATCGGTCACCAAACTTGCTCCTGGAGGGCCGGTGTCCTGCCGATTTTAGCTCCAACCCTAATCAAACACAACTGAACAAGCGAATCAAGGTGTTACTTGGTATACTGGAAACATCCAGGTAGGTGTGTCGAGGCAAGTTGGAGCTAAACCCTGCAGGGACACCGGCCCTCTAGGACAGAGATTGGTGACCCCTGATATAAATCAATATTCCATGGAGAAAATGTATGTTGTTTTAACTCTGTAACTCTGTTATTGCACTTTAATATTGTTACCAAAAGAAGAGGAAAGAGTAAGGAAATTTTGTTTCTCTGTTTTTAAAAATTTTTTTTCAAAGCTTTTTTTGGGTAGGCTATTACTACACTAAAAATGACACTACTAAAAGTCAAGACAAATGTTTTATGGATCAGTAGCTTATTTTAATCAGTTAAACAATTTTCATCTATTGTTTATTATGCTAAGATTAGGTTAATATTTTATTCAGTTTGACTGATGCAAGATAATATGACTAGAATAGTTCATTTTATTATTTTGATGAACTAAATAAAATTCAGGCAGTAAGCGTTTTTATTTATTTGATATTTTCACAATGCAGCAGCAACTGTTACCATAACTGTGTATTAGCAAGTTTAAAGGGCTCAACCCATCGTTGAGGTCACTCTTCCCATAGACCGTTTTAAAACCAATGCAAACCAAACCTATACCAATGCAAATCATCCACAGGGCCATTTTTACATGCAAAACAAAGCATTGTTGGATGGTGCCTTGTAATGATAAATATAAGCAGTAGGACATATATGAGTAATTCATAATCTAGACAAATGCACGTGCTTTATTGGGATAGGTGAATAAACATATTGCCTTCACAATGCAAATTCTCTCTACATTGAAGTTGAAGGAAAATGGGAACAGTTGAATTATTTAGCATGTGCAGTGCCCTTTGATGGTAACGGACAAGAACAACAATATGTTTACAATTAATTTCAGATGTAAACGGTGCTTGAAGAAACTGCTACTGCTACATTACATGTCACATTTGACATTTAAATAGTTCTTATGGCTTGTAAAAATTGCCACAGATTCCTCAAAATTTCACTTTCCAAATTGAGCTTGACCCATAAATGAAAATGGTAACTGAACAGTTGTGTGATTTGAAATTTCCACCAGCATCGCTTTCAGCTGAATCTCAATTCCAATATGGCATTTCACCAATCATCCCCTCTCCCCCCCAATATAGCTCTGTGCTTTTCAAAGTCATGTGGCATGTTTCTAAAATATAAAAGCTGCCCACTGAGAGGCTCGCGGCCGAAGTAGAGGGCATAATTGCTAGGAAACATCTTACTGAACAGTTGGCGATAAACGTAGTCACCCCCTCCTCGGCTTAAAGCAATTAATTCAGGCACCCTGACATCAACTCTCCAATCCTCTGACAGCTTGGAGCCCAAATCAAAATGCTAGTTCTCCTGGGAACAGCAGAAGATAGCCGGCTCTTTTCTGGACTGTTTGCTCACTGGGCCTGAGAGCAATCTTCCTTGCCGAATGAAATGCAAGGACACAAACAATGTGCCGGCGAGAGAATGGAAGACGGGGAATGAACAGTTTGGACTATTTGCTCAGCAGAAGGGCAGTCACAATAGCTGGCCCATAGCTTTCCCATGCATCAAGCTTCTTAGTCTTAGGGCTCCTTTGTTGCTGAGTTTCGTTCAGATAAGAGTCCAGCTGCCCCATGTGTTTAATTCTCATTGTATGTTGTACTGTATGCTCATTTAGATACTTTTGCACAGTTTTTTTCACAAATCGGGGAGCA